TGCATGGCACCCCCTCGCATACCTATGTGTCGCCAACAGATCCCCTCGGAGTCTCCTCTTCTCCAGGCTGGAAAGACCCAGTTCCCTCAGTCTCTCCTCTTACAGCTTTCCCTGCAACCCGGCCACCATCCCTGTGGTCCTACACTGCACTGACTCTAACCTGGCCATATCCTTCCTGTAATGTGGAGCCCAGAACTGAACACAATCTCCAGTTGTGGGCGCACCAGAGTTGTATAGAGTGGTAGTAATACATCTCTCGATCTAGAAGCCATGTTTCTGGCCATGCTACCAAGGGTGATGTTCACCCTCTTGACCACCACTTCACACTGCTGACTCATGTTTAGCCTGCAATCGACCGGTACCCTGCGATCCCTTTCACAATTGCTGCTCTACAGCCACTAGTCCCCTAACCTGTACTTATGACACCCATTCCTATGCCCCAAGTGCAAGATCTTGCACTTATCCCCATTGAATGCCATCCTGTTGTCTCCTGCCCACTTCCATAGTCTGTTCAGATCCTTCTGGGTCTGGAGTACCTGCTCCTCAGTTGTGGCCACTGCCCCTGTTTTAGTATTGTCTGCAAATTTGATCAGCAGACTGTTCATCCCTTCTTCCATGTCGTTGGCCCCAGGACAGAGCCCTGGGGGACCCCACTTGTAACTGGCCACCATCCCAATGATTCCCCACTAATGGTTACCCTCTGCTTTTGGTCAGTCAGCCATGCCCTAATCCATCAGAAGGTACATTGGTCTATCTCAAAACTCCTCGACTTCTCAACCAGGATGTCATGGGGCACTTTGTCAAAGGCCTTGCTGAAATCCAGGTAAACCACATCCACTGTGTCCCCTTCATCCAGCCATCTCGAAACCTTGTCATAGAATTCCACAAGGTTTGTCTAGCAGGACCTGTTTTTGCGGAAACAGTGTTGTGTGGCTGCCAGCCTCCCTTCCCTATCTAGCATCACTAGAGCTCTTGCTATTATGAGCCATTCCATTGTTTTTCCTACAATGGACATAAGGCTAACTGGTCTATAATTCCCCATGTCCCTTCTACTGCCCTTTTTGAAAATTGGGACCACTGATGCCACCCTCCAGTCCTCTGGAACTTTGCCTGCTCTCTCTTTGCTGCTCTTGATATTCTTGGCAAGTCTCAGCTCGTAATCAGCCTTAGCCTTGTGAAGAATTTTTCTGCAATAGGCCTCCTCCTCTCAGTATGCCCTTTTGTCTATTTGCCCCAGTGCCCATTTCCTACAGAGGTTCCTCTTGTGTCTAATCCCTCTTACCACCTCTTTTCACATCCATGACGGCACTCTCCTTCGCCTCCCCACCTTACTAACTAGAGGTATCTTCAAGGCTTGCATCTCCAAAACCTCCCTTTTGAGTTCCATCCACCCCTCCTCAGCTCTCTTGCCTTCCAGTAACCTATCCCAGGAGACTCTCCCCAGTGTGGCCTTCAGCTGACCAAAGTTGGCCCTCTTGAAGTCCCAGCTTCTAGTGCTCAACCTGCTGCACATCTCCATTTCCCTGGTCTCAAAGCAAAGGATGGAGTGATCACTCGCATCCAGAGCTCCCCTAATCTGTACCCCATCTATCAGCTCTTCCCTATTGGTCAAGACCAAGTCAAGGATGTCCTCCACCCCTTGTCACCTCTAGGACCCTCTGTGTGAAAAACCCTCCCTCTATACCTTCTAGGAAGCGACATGACCTGGCTTTCACCGCTGAATGAGTTTCCCAACTAATATCCTGGAGACTGAAATCTCCCATAATTACTGTGTCCCTCCCCTGAGATATCTTTGAAATCTGATCTGTCAGGACATCGTCCAGGGTCTCAAGTTGACCTGGAGGGCAATAACATACCCTCACTGTCAGGTTCCTCTCCCTGTCAAGACCCCTTAGTTTCATCCAGACTGCCTCTACCAGATCCCCATCTGCACTGCATTCTGTCTCACTGCATCCTATCCCTTCCCTGACATATAAAGCTATGCCCCCACCCCCTTTCCCTTCCTGCCCTCTCTAAACAGGTGTTATCTCTCTTATGTTTACATTCCAGTTTTGCCTTTCATCCCACCAAGTTTCCATGATCCCCACCAGGTCATACTCTCCCGTACCCAGGAGAGCTTCCAGCTCTTCCTGCTTATTACCCATGCTCCTAGCATTGGTGTACGTGCACCTCAACTCCTTCCCACAGCTTCCTTACGTAATACTAGGAACATTAACAAAACATCAATAATACAAAAACGTAGCCCAACAAATGAAGGTAATTACATTAACAAAATCTAAATAATCATTAATAAATAAACTAAAACAAAATTATTAACCAGGGCCATGTTAAAAACAAGATAATCATTAAAATCATCTCTCAAAATAGCTAGAGAGGAGAGACGCATTTCATCTGGTATCGGAATGATAACAAAAGTGGTGCCAGGCGCCCCTCTCTATTGTAGAGATGCCATCAAAAAGGCACTTCTTTTTTCTGCCGTCCCCCTCACCTCCCTGAGGGGTGGCTCCTTAAGGAAGGGCTTAAAGGACCTTTCTTTCCTTCAGAAAGACTTTTCGCAGGAATTTGTTCTGAGTACCTGAATTGAGTGGGACTCGTGATCATTCCCTGGAGAAAATCCATTTCTGTTTCTCTCAAGAGTTCTTTGTTTCAGCAGTACATTGTGGATGGAGTCATCTTATTATTTGCATTGTTGGGAACTAGAAATCCTTCTTGCTCTATCAGTCCATGCTGACCTGCTCCTGCTGGGCAGGAAGCACCCTGCCCCAAGCGAGTACATGAAGAGCGACGGCAAAGTCCTCTTGGGGGGGCTTCATTTCCCGGGGGCGGCGATTGCTGTGACAAGGCAACTCGCCCCATAGCAGTAGGATATCGCTTTGGGCCACGACAGGCATATAGCAGAGAGAGGCTTGTAATGTTTTGTCAGTTGCTACCCAAGTCTGTTGTCAAAAGTACTGTGGCATGCTCCCCTCTTCCTCAAACAGCCAGGCTTTCCAGGGCCAGCACCTGCCTGGATTTGCTTTCACTCGGAAGAAGGGATGATTGGAGACGTCAGGTGTTTGTGTAACATTGGAGCTTATTCACGGAGAGCTGGGCATCTGTGGAGGCACAGCTGAATTGCAGCAGCAGAAAGCCCATGGTTCTCACATTGATCCTTAGAGAGAAGGTACCTTCATCTTAGAATGCTTCCTGTACTCAAAGCCAGCACTCCCCCCTCTCTTAGTCACACTCAAAAAAATTCCCGCTTCTGTTATTTTCTTCCTGTGTACAAGCACACCTAGCTTGCCTCCCTCCTCCCTCTGGCTGGGCAGGTAGGATGAGTCATTCCCTTTCTAGGCCATTTACTTATAATTTCCCTAACCATAGATGTAGCTGGCATACTTTGCCACTGACTATTAACCAACCTTTCTGGCCCCAATAACCCTCACACATTCCAGACTCTCATATTTAAAACAATACATTCTACGTAAATACACCAGTTTCAGTTTGCTGATTTGGTACGGTCATGCCCAGCTACTTCCAAATAAGAACTGAATTACGTCCATGGTATTGTGGACCTCCTTGTGAAGTATGCTTGCCCGATTCCCGGTGTTATCAGATTCTCTTTCGTGAAGCTGGCTATGCGCAATACACATGGATTACTGTGCTGCATTGTCTCTCTCCTGCGTGTATTATGAGCTTGTTTGCAATCTATGTGGGCTTTCTTTCCCCATGATAATTGAGTTGTGCTCTGTGTTTTTTTGCACAGAGATAGAGTATGTGTTTGTGTGCGTTAAACAATAGAACCAACCTGTACTTGACCAGATTTCTTTTACATACTAATTTAGGGTGTGCAGAATCTGAAAAAGAGAGTGGAGGAACAGTTTGAAAAATATGTTGGTATGACACATAATGAAATCTCGAGGAGAAAGTCTGTCATCTGTGGAAAAATGGACAAGAGCCAACATGGCGTAGTGGTTAGTGTTGTACTGGAATTCAAAAGATCTGGGTTCTAGCCCCACTTGGCCGTGGGTCCTAGTGGGTAACTTTGGGCCAGTCGGTGACTCACAGCCTAACCTAACAAACAGGGTTGTTGTGATGAAAAAATGGAGTTGAGGATTATATATGCTGTCTTACATTCCTTGGAGGAAAAAATAAGGCAGGACATAAATGTACCAATGAATTGAGTAATTAGTGGGTACATGGTCATAAGAAGATTTTTTTTTAAGGGGGAGAGCAGAGTGACGTCTGGGATCAAGCAAACTCCCAAATGTTTACCTAAATAAACATTCACTGTGCTAAGGGATGTCCCAGATGATGGATGGCACCTCTTCTGTGGTGCTTGAATGTTGGCTCTAAAATCATGGCAAGAGGTTTTGTGTGCAGAAAAAAAGTCCTGTATTCCAAACCATGAAAACATTAATCCCAAATTGGAATGAAAGTCATGCCAAAAATGTAAACATGTTTTTCTAATTAATATGAAAAACAAAAGACTTTCTTTGTGCAGTTACAGGCAACGCTTGCCCTTTTAAGAGCAAATGGCAGGTGTTCAGGCGCTGCCTAAATAGGTTTTCTCTTTCCATTGTCCCTCCTATCATTTATCTACCATCCTTGTGTAAGTTCCGCAAGAGAAGAGGGGAGAGAAAGACATATCCGAAAGTAAGAGGAGTTGCCATGCTTTCTCCTTTGTTTAGTCCAGCATATGCTCCTCCCTTTTTATATCTCTGCTCCTATATGATGCAATGCTATTGGGTAGGGTTTCCTGAGTTACTACAGAACTAGCATAAGGACAGACTGGCAGCTGTCTAATGTAGCATGCATTGATTCATATACGTTACTGCTAGATTGCAGGCTTGAGCACCCTGATGTCATCCAGTGCTGAGCAAGAGGAACAGCAGGGTGATCCTCACATTCTTCTGCATTTCTGGTAGATGGTTTTGGGGGGTGGGGGGGTTGGCCTCTTTAGCTGAGATGCGTCAGAGTGCGAGGGAAGGAAATTGGGAAGACTTTGGGATAGCTGGCACCCTGGTATTTATTCTCCGGTATCCTTCCCTCCCCATGCTCCAGAGTATCCCCCTTTCCTGCTCTCCAAGGTCACAGCCGGACTGGTTCTTTTTGTGGTAGTTGTGAGGAGGTGGGATGAGTGGTGGAACACCAATTCCCAGCTCTGCGGTTCCAATTTTTTCTCCAGTTTTGGATCTGGGAATCCAAACTATCCTATGGCCCTTCAGTTACTATCTGCATTGCCTTAGGATTGTGTCTGTAATCTGTTAAGGGTACAACTGTAGGCCTGCTTAGGCAGGAAAGTCCCACACCTCCCAGAATGTTTCATGAAAAAAGCATGTGATTAATTATTGAGGAAACTAACAGGGAAATTCTGTACTTCGTTTGAGTGCAGAATGATTTTTTAAAAAATGTTGCAAGTACTTCCCTCAGGATCCTGACCTCTTTCACTTATTAAAGAAAAATTGCTGAAATGAGTAGTTTTTCCTGCGCATGAGCTATTCTGCCTCTTTTCTAGTCAGCTATCGCAGAAAACAGACTGTCAGTGCCTCGGCTGATCATCTCAACCATCATGACTTATGGGAGACAGCAGTTCTTTTGCTTAAACTGTTGCATATACCCTCCCTATGGCTTATCATTGCCCCGCAATGTTTCTGTAACGTCTGTGTGTCCTCTCCTCCCAGCGTTTGCAAGTGCACACTTGTGAACAACAGGGGAATGCTACCCACAAACCTGTTTTCCCAGTCAGCATACCCATGCTGCACAGTAAGTCCATGCTTCCCAAGAGATCTGTCCTGTTCAGACGCTGCTTTTGGAACTGGCCTCAAGGGAAGCACTGAATGGGGGAGGAAACTGAGAAGGGTCCATTCAAGATGTAGCACAGTAAGTGGTAGAAACTGAAAAGTGGCCTTTAATACGTTCATACAGGATAATGATCTATAATGCTGCAGAAAGGACATAAGCAACAGACACACGAGGGCAACTGTGCACCTGTGATCACTGGGGAGAAATTACCCAGTTGCATTCTTCCAAAGCATTGGAGCAGAAGAAGGTGTAAATGGAGAAACCTGAGCAGGCGGAAGTGGCATTAAGGTGTTGGAGTAGGATGAGAAGCTGGGGAGGTTTCCTTCTGTAAGGTCAAGGGTACAAGCGCGGTTGTGCAACAGAGACCAAAGGATATGTGTAGAGTGAGGGCAGGGGGACAAGGGAAGAAACAAGCCACAGCAAGCCACAGAGGGCCAAATCTGTCAGGAGTAACGCAGTTAGTGAGCAAACAACAAACCCACATGATTCAATTTTAGTGTGGCTTATCCTGACATGCGAACTGGTGTTAAGGTTTTAACTTTTGCTTTTTTCATGCCCTTTAGTATTTACAGTGCAGAAAGCCCAAGTTATCCGGTTAATATCAAACTTAACAACATTAATATTGCATAAAGCAAGTGTTGAGATGTTTCATTTGAAAACTGTATGGAATAAAAGCTTCTGTATCTATGCTGATAGCTTCAAGGACGTCTATATTAGGCTGTGGCATGTTGAAACGCACCCTGAAAAAGAAATGGGAGCAATTGCACGCCACGTGTAACGGTAAAATAGCTAGTCGCACAGAGCCTGCTAAAACTGCCTGTTTTTTATCATCAGAAAAGCAGGTGTTACCTAGCTGACCATAACAGTGTAACTTGGTTTAGGCAGCACAACAACGCACACTAGGCATTTGCATTCTTTATCTGTTTATTTAAAACTTTTCTATGCCTTCCCATACTTAGACATCTCTGGACTGTTTACAGCCAATTAATACTAAAATAGAAATAAGAATAACAGTTGTCCAGCATTCAGTGTTAAAATAAAACCCACTAAATAAAACAAGTTAACAATTAATACTGAGAGAATAAAAAGGTTTTCGCCTGGCAGCATAAGGAAAGAAGCGATTGTGCCAGGAGGACCTCTCTGGGGAGCATGTTCCACAATCTGGGCACCACCGCAGAGAAGTCCCTCCTCCGGGTAGTCACCCTTTTGATCTCTTTCAAGGACGGCTCCTGGAGGAGAGCCTCTGACTCAGAGCTCAAGGGGAGGAGGGCAGATGTGCATTTTCAGGTATCCAGGACCCAAGCTGTTTAGGGCTTTATGGGTCATCACCACCATCTTAAATTGGACTTGGACTTCAACTGGTAGCCAGTGTAGACGATAGAGGACCAGATATATATGTGAACACCTGCCAGTCCTCATTAATATCCTGGCAGCTCTGTTCTGAACCAGTTGAAGTATCCGGACCATCTTCAAGGGCAGCTCCATGTAGAGCACGTTACAGTAATCCAGTCAGGAAGTTACCATAGCAGGGCATCACAGTGATCACCCACTTTTGTTTCGGAGTGGCTTGTCATGATGTGCAAACTTGGCACAACAGCTTAAATGCGGGTTACTAACCTTGCACAAGCTACTCGGAGAGCCATGGCCGGTCGAGCTGTTCGGTATGCTTGTTTTTAGTGCAGCTTGTCATTATGTGTGCAAAGTGCATGACGCCTTGTGTGTGCAGCTTGTTTGAAAGGGCTACAGAGGTGCCTGGCAAGAACCAAACCGCTCCTTACAGCGCTCTTCATTTCGTCTCCTCTTCTGGCTTGATGCTTCGTTTGACACAAACTAGTTTTATGCTCTTGTGAGCGGAGTTAGCGTAGCTGTGGGTGTGTGTGATTGACTTATCTTTGGGTAAGTGCACATGGCTCCAATTTGGGAGCATAGCAATTTAGGATCAGGGATTTAATCTGCCTCAGTCTTATTTTTATCCTGAACTTTCCCAAGGGGTTAAAAGAATCTCATTTCCCCCTCTCTTTTCAACCCACCCCCTCACCCTATGGGGGAAGTTTCAGCAGAAAAATAGGAGCAGGAGAGCTCAACGCCCTCCCCACAAATTATTAAGGTTCCAAGTTGTGGTCCTGCTCACTTACCCAGTGGCATGTCTGTCATATATACATACATCGCTCTGCTTGGAAGAGGAACGTGCTTTATCTGTTTATTAGTTGATAAATTTCTGCACTGCCCATTAGCCTAGATGGTTCTCTGGCAGCTTACCAAAACATATTATCAACGTATACAATAAAACAGTAAAATTAAATCTACATACTTGCTAAGCAATTAATAACAACAATACCACACAATAAAAACCCCATAGCAGTCATAATTCAGATGAATCCAAAAGTACAGTAGCACGAAAATATAATAAATACCATATGAAGGTTCTCTTAAAAATTACATTAACTATTCAAATAATGGGCAAATAAAAAGGTTTTTGTCTGGCTCCAAAAGGAGTAGAAGGAGGGTGCTAGGCAATCCTCATTGGGGAGCTGATTCTAGAGTCAGTGTGCAACCCACAAGAAGGCTCTTCTCCTTGTAGTCACCCTCTTAGTATCCTTCAGAAGGAGCTCTCTGAGAAGGACTTCAGATGACGATCAGCGATCCATTTGATAACTTGGCCCTAAAGCCATTAGGGGCTTAAATATTAACACTTTGAATTGGGCCTGGACTTGGTAACCAGTGAAGTTGACAGAGGACTGATGTTATATGTTCATATTAGCCAGTCCTCATCAGCAGCCTTGCTGCCCTATTCTGGACCAATTGGAGTGTCTGAACCATCTTCAAAGGCAGCCCCATGTAGAGCACATTGTTGTTGTTGTTGTCAGTTGAGAAGTCGTTACCTTAATCTAAATGAGAGGTTACTAGAGCATGGATTACTGTTGCTAGGTTCTGTCTGTGCAGATAGGATCCTAGTTGGTGAATCAGCTTAAGCTGATAGAATTTGCTGTGGGCCACTAAATCCATTGACAATTCAGGAGCCAGGAGCACCCCAAACTATGGACCTTGTCCTTTAGGGGGAGTGCAGTCCCATCCAGGACGGGTGTAATATCACCCATCTGATGACGCTGCAGCCCACACCTCTGGATAAACTCCCCCAGTGGCTTCATGTAGGTGTTAAATAGCATGAGGGATGGGTAGTGGTACTCTGTGGCATAAATGCCATGGCACAGAGCAATTATTCCCCAGCGCCACCTTCTGGAATCAGCCAGTCAACTAGGAGCAGAACCACTGCCAAGCAGTGCCTCCTACTCCCAACTTAGCCAGCCTATCCAGAAGGACACCGTGGTCGATGGTACTGAAAGCCACTGAGGAGTCCAGGAGAATCAACAGGGTCACAACTCCTCTTGTCTTTCTCCTGGCAAAGTTCATCCCTGAGGGTAACCAAGGCAGTCTCCATTCTGAACCCAGGCCTGAAACCTGATTGAAATAGAAAGGATCAAGACGGTCCATTTCATCCAAGAGTGCCTGGAACCGTTCAGCCACCACCTGCTCCAACACCCTGCAATATCGTTTCCTTAGATGCAGTGACCATATGCACAATATGTCAAGTGAGGTTGCACCATATATTTGTATAAGGGCAGAAGGATCTTGGCAGTTTTTCGAATATATTCCATACCTTTCCTAATTCTGCCCAACATGGTGTTTACCTTTTTCACAGCAGTCCCACACTGTTCATTAACTTCTAGCTCAGATCTCATCAGCATATACTTGAAGTTGGGAGCCCCCCCCCCCGTATTGCTTTACATTTGCTTAGACTGAGCTGCATTTGTCATGTCGATGTTCATTCTCTCAGCTCAGAGAGATCCTTTTGGAGCTCCTCACAATCTCTCTTGTTTTTAGCCACCCTAATTAGTTTGGAGTCATCTGCAAACTTGGCTGTTTGACTGCTCGCTCCTAGTTGCAGATCATTTATGAATGCGTTGAAAACACTGGCCCCAACACAGAACTCTATGGGACCCTACTGCCTACACCCATCCATTAAAAAAAAATTACCACGTATCTCCTCTCTCTGCTTTCTATTCTTTAGAAAGTCCTTGACTGTTGAGAGCAGCTAATCATGCTTTTTCAGTGCTCAATTAATGACCAATAAACTCAACCAACTTAACCCCCCACCCCACCCAAACCTCCAAGATGCGACGTGTATTTGTCAATACAGGCGCTTCTTGAGGCAAGAAAGGGTGGTTGTGGTAGCGAGAATTTCATGGCTGCACAAGTGTAGACAAGTGGTGCTGCAAAGGCCCTTGGGATGCATGCGCAGAACAGATGAAAGGATGAAGGCGTGAAGGCGCAAACAAACCACGGCAAGCTCTTTGTCGGCATTATTAAGCGCCCCGCTATGGCTCGGTTCATTGTGGTGTGTCCTGCTGTGAAAACAAGGCCCGTGAATAAGGAAGCTGCTCTTTACCGCTGCCCTGCAGTGGGTGCTTTCAGCTCTCCACCACAAGCCCTGGATGCTTTTTGTGGCGAGACAATGACAGTTCAAACCCCACCAGCATGTATGTGATGACAGGATGCGTTGCCCTATCCTTTCCCCTTCTTTGAGCTGAACTGTGTCTGTTGTTCTGTTGTCCATTTACCCGGGCTGAAGAATGTCTCTTTGGAGCTATTCATAATCTGGGGTTTGAGCATCTTCAATAACGTTTATTTATACAGTAAGATTCAGTTTTTCAGACTGGTTCACATACCTTATCTCTATGGTAGGCTGCTACCTCGGGCTTGCAGATTGGAGAGAGGCGTTGTAGCTGTGAAAAAGACAAGTTCCGCCCTGGGGACTGTTAGGAAGGGAGTCGAAAATAAGTGCTAATGCCATTATGCCCTTATAAAATCTGTGATGCAGCCGTATGTGGAGCTCTGTGCACAGTTCTGCTTGCTACATCTCAGACAGGTAGAAAAGGTCCAGACAAGGCAACCAACCAGCAACCTGGCATAAAGAAATGCCATAACCTTTGGTGCATTTTAGTTTAGAAAATAGGTAGTAAAGGAGGGACATGTTAGTTGTTATCTATTTATTTATGTTGTGGAGAAGTGGATAGAAATAATTTCCTCCCCTGTCTAATAATATTAGAACTCATCATGCAATAATTTTGATTGGCTGTGGTTTTAGGACAGAAAAGGAAATATTACTTCACACAATGCCTAATTGAGTCCAGGATATATTGTGTAATTGGGATTTTAGAAATGTCTTGGGGCAGGGGTGCGTTTCAAGACAAATTAACATGTATGCTTTATTTTTCAGTTTGCAATTTTATGTCCCATGAGAAGTGCCTGAAACATGTGAAGATACCGTGCTCATGTATCGCTCCAAGTCTTGTAAGGGTGAGTGGTCCATGCTTTGTGATAAGCTGACTTGCATGTAAAAATAAATACATCCCTTAAATCAGGCTTCTCCAGCCAGGTGTCCTCCAGATGTTCTGAACTACAAGCTCTATTAGCCCTGCCCAACTTGGCCAGCAGTAAAGCATTTGGGGATTTATAGTCCAAAACATCTGGAGGGCGCAAGGTTGGGGAAAGCTGTCCTATATGTACACTTGCCGTTCTCCAACATAATGCTGTGCTTCTACCCCCTTTGTCTGGTTATCTTTTTACTGAAAACAATATGGTGAAAAATGCTGCTTTAAATGTCATGAGATGTTTATTTAGGATTAAAATACAAATACATCAAATAGAATTTGTCCCTAAACTCAAATGCTGGTAGGCCTTGCTGAAAAGTTAGCTGGTTCAAGCTTGATGAGGAGAAGGGCAGTGAATGCGTAGCAAAATGGATCATGTCCTAAACTTCTGGCATATTTTCAGCATCAAAATATAAGTTACCTAAACTGAAAGGTGGGATAATATGCTATGGCTTGGACTTTCCCACACCTCTTCCCCCCAAAAACCCCTCCAGGCTTTTATTTACTTTATTTATTTATTTTTTGATTTATATCCTGCCTTTTTCCTACAAAGGGCTCAAGGCAGCTTACATCATTCTCCTCCTCTATCTTATCTCCACAACAACAACCCTGTGAGGTAGGTTGGGCTGAGAGTCTGTGACTGGGCCAAAGCCACCCAGTTGGCTCCATGGCTGAGCGGGGACTAGAAACCAGATCGTCTGAGTCCCAATCCCATGCTCTTAACCACTACACCACACTGGCTCTCTTGAAAATCTTCAGAAGAGCCTACTGAATTTTGCATTGCTCATTAGAATACAGATTGGTGATACGAGGTGGAAACTTTGCTTTCACCAGACAAGTAAATAAAAGGGCATTAGGAGCCAGTGAAGCAGGACTTGCGATGCAAAGAGCAGACTGGACAGATTCAGAGCCATTTTTAGGAGAGGAGTAAGAAATAATCTATTGCATCGTAGTCTAGTGTACATTTTCCTTCTTTCAAAATACAAGACCACAACATGGCCTCACAAATACAGAAGGCATAGAACCCCCTCTGGTCTATTGGATTTTGGTTGTTCACTCAAAATGGGGTAATCCCCTTGCTTCCCAGACAAGTTTAAACATCAGGTTCTCAAGAAAGAGTCAGAGGTGTAGGATGGTTCCGAGGACAGGGTGGGCAGGGGCTGAGCGGCTCTGCCTGTGCTGTCATTAGGAACACTGGAGCCAAATATTAGGGTGGCAAAAATGGACTGTGCGATGGAGAGCCTGAAAGTGGCATCTCTGCATTGACTCTGCCTTAAATAACAAGGTTGGAGAGAGGCAGGGGCACTGAGGGAAAGGAGGTAAGTCATAGAGGCTAGCCTAAAGTGTGGCTTTGCTTGAGAAAACTTAGCACAATACTCCTTGCTTGTCCACCAAATGAATTTGCCACGAGGCCACTTATAAGCCAGTGGCACTATTGTCTTCCTCACTGTATATGTACAGTGCCCTGGGATTCTAGGGAGCCTATAGAAAGTCAGAGCCCCAAGTCTGTGATTATGTACTCAAAACATGGATGTCCACATGTTTTAAATACAACAACAACATGGGACTAAAAAGTTGCTTGTTGAAAGGCAAAACAAAGACAAAAGACAGCTGCAACAATGCTTGTTTGTTTCCCAGTACCTTTCGAGGACATGCCTTTATCAAAGAAAACAGAGAAGTGTATATACAACGAAAGAATAGTCCACAAATATGTCGTGAACCTGGCCCACAAGTTCACAGCAGTGTTGGGCTATAGCACAAATGGAGGCTGGCTGAGAAGTTGTGACCATGGTTCAGTGTGGGTGTGGATGCGAGGATTTGGGACTGCCTAAATATTCAGGGCAGCAAGGGGGTTCAAGCCAAAGGGTCAGGAGTATCTCTGGGACATGGGCTGGGCACCAGAGTAGTGGAGGAGGAGTGCTCAGAAGGGTCACAAGTAACACATAAAGAGCCAAGCAAACCCTGGGTGATGCTGGAGCCGTGCGAGTCTGTTCAGCCTGAGTCCCACAGATGAACAGAGTGCTGGATGCCCAAAATCAAGGCCAGTTAGAGACTTACAGAGTCATAAAATCACAGAAGAGTAGAGTTGGAAGGGGCCCACAAGGCCATTGAGTCCAGCCCTCTGCTCAATTCAGGACTTCCAAGTTAAAGCATTTCCAACAGATTGTCCAGCTGCCTTTGAGTGCCCCTTCAAAGGGCAAAGATTCTGGATGGAAACAGAATGGGATGGAAGAAAGGGATCAAATAATTTGGCTCTGGGGAACAAAGGGGCCCTAATGGAAGCTGCTGCATTAGTCAGCTTGCTTTAAGTCTATCATTACAAAAGCCCTGTTTCTGAGAGTCAATTGGTAGAGAGGTGTGTGGAACAAAAGCAGTACTTCTAGGGGTGCCCTGATGGTATTTTAGGGATAAGATGGTTCAGGACAGGACTTGGGATAGATAGGTCAGGACTTGACCATGTTTCCCTCCAAGACTCTCAACTGGTGAACATGAAAGTATCCTTGTGAGTTGTTGGGCTGTGGAAGCAACTTGTTGGTCAAGAGCATTTGCACTTCTCCGATGTTCTTAAACTTGAATACTGCAGCAGGGCAGCGTCTTTGATTAAGCTGTAGTGGAGAACGTCAGGCACTAGCATAGCTGCCCTGAGGCCTTCTCTACGCAGCCTCTGTCAGTACATTTTGGGCTAGCTGCAAGGATGATACCGACACAAAAAAACTGCTTCTTTCTCAAGCTATCGTAGCTGAGCTTCTCAGCTGCAGTACTGACTTCATCCTTCTGGGATACAGCATGAGAAGCAGAAGGAATTGCTTCTTCATATTGGCAAAGCTGCTCCAGGTGGAAGGACTGGAAGAGGAGAGGGACACAGGAAGCCTCCTCTTTCTGTCTCAGACCCTCTGCCCATCTCATCCAGTGCCACGGACACTGACGGACAAGCAGCTCTCCAAGATTTCAAGCAAGAGCTTTTCCTACCTTATGTTGTAAGCCGCCCCGAGGCTTCGGCGAATGGGGCGGCATAAAAATGTTTTAATAAATAAAAAAATAAATAATAAATAAATAATAAATACCTTACCAGGAGATGCAAAGTAGGGACTCTGCCTCTCCAGAAAAGATGCAGATGTGTTTGTTTCTGCCTCCTGTTTTGTACCAAAACACAAATGATTGTTTCTGTAATTAGCACGTCTTCCACTATACAGGTTGAAAGTCATAACCCAACACAGCATCATTATGATTCTTGTTGATTTTGAACACATCGAATTCAGGGGGAAACCCTGGTATTTATGGCACTTTTGCGGTTTAATACTACTTACAGATCTTAAACTATATCTGTAAATAGCATAGTTGCTATGGAGTTTCTCTCAGTTGGTGCTGTGAAGAATGCTTTTGTTTGTGTTTTATCCTTGTAAGCACTTGCCTTTTAGGCTAGTAGAACCAGCCCCCGCTAGCTTTTCGGTTTTGCTGTGAAAAAGTGTCATGGAATTCTGAGCTGCTGCTGTTAGTGACAGACTAGCGGATTGGTTTCCAGGTTAATCTGCTGTATAAAAGCAGTCATGTGGGATATTGGTGTTTTTGTGGTGGCTGTGCAGAATATTCAATTTGGCTTTTAAAAGCATAACAGAAGGCTTGCATTATAGCTTATTTTATATAGGAAAAGATTTTATGTCACCCCCTATCCTCTTTACTGATTTACTTTATGGACCCTTCCAATATACAAAAGTTGTTGCAGATTTTTCCTGATGGTTTCTTAGAGCATACCTTTATTGTAAACCATGAATTCTGTGTTTTTTAAAATTACATCGTGAATACTGGAAGTGGGGATCTGGCAAAGTGTCAGCTTTGTCTGAATGTTTCTTTTGAAACTGGATTATCCTTGTCTTTCTAAAAATGTCATTCTTAAGCAGGACATGGAATTCAAGGTCAAGTAAAGGCTCATTAACTCAGAAGGATGGCATGAGTCAGATAAGTTTTGCGCAGACAACTTTCAAAGAGAATTATGAAGTCTTTGTAGAATGAGTAATCTTTGTTGCTTTGACTTTGTTACAAGCTGGAATTTGTTAGATGATATTTCAGAACTTTTCTGTGTGAGCAATCAGTCTGCATGGTCTAGTCTAGTTACAGTACCTTGTTTGTTTAAACAAACTTGTCCAGAGAGTGCTCCTTGTATTCTGCTGACCTCAAAAACTTGCTTACTACGTTGTGATATTTTCAGTGACACCTAAAAAAGCGACTATGCTACTGTTGTTTGCTTATTTGTTTGTTTTTTAATGGACCAGCATGCTTATCTGCAATTTCTGTCTACCGTTTTCCTGCTTGCAAGATCTTTGGGGGTTTCCTAACATCTTTTCCACAATTCTTCTGCTAACAGTTTTTCACTGAAGCATTCAAGGATAAGATGGGACAGATTATATTCAGAGTGCTGTGAAGCCAAAAGGTTACAGTGGTGTAAAATGCGCTGTTAAAACATAAAAATTAGACAGTAAAATTGTTGAGCTTAAAATGTTACAGCGTTAGGGTTAGGGTAAGCTCTGCACCACTCAGGTTAGCATTATGATCAGAATACCTCTGAGTGAGCACATTTACTTGTGAATGTTGTTTGGTTGCTTCTAGCATGCTGGTAAGGAAAACAAGCACACACCAAGTGCAGATATGTGGTAGAATCTATGAAGCTGTCAGAAAAGGAAGGCATCCTAAACAAATCTCTTTCATCAGGGATTAAAACTTGGTGGTGCCCGAAGAGAACATACTAGCAAGTATTCCTGTCTCCTGGCACCTTGACCATATTTTGACCTACAACCTAGTCCTCCTAGGACATTGTCAAATGCATGGAAGTCAGCACCTTCCTTTTACGGTTTCCTTTCTATAAAACAGTCATGCCTGGAGCATATGATTTCAATTTGCATAACAATTTGCATACCAATAGGCCATTTG